GTCCACTGCGAGCGCTGGCTGGGCCTCAACATTGTCGTCATCCCAGCCCATCAGCGCGAAGAACGCGTGGGCTTTGATGGACCAGATGGGCCAGTCTTCATCTCTGCCGCTGAGCTCTGGCAGCTTGATGTCGCCTCTGCAATCCACCAGCTGCTCTCTGGGCGCCGCTGCCATGGGCAGCGCGCGTCCTCAGTCTTCCCGTGCATCTGATCTGCGTAGTTCACAACAAAACCACGCTCTCCGATACCATGGAGGAAGTTACGCGGATGCGTGGGGAAAGCGTATATTGGGGCTTTTTTCTTCGTCAACGCAGCTCGAACAAAAGGGCCTGCGGGCATGTTATGACTTGATGGCGTCCGAATCACACAAGGTCCCGAGCAGAATCTCGAGGGCTTCTGGAGGCCCGCGTGCTCGGCGTGTCGCGTGTGGCCCACGCCCGCGGCGCGCGCCTGGATCCTCAAGCCAGCGGCTTGCGGCGGCCTGAAAAAGTCGAAGGCGCCCCCCCAACAGAATTGATTATCTGTGGCTTCTGGAGGCTCGAGATGGAGCCTCGAACCTCGATGGCTTCAGCGGGCCCCAGAAAAAACACCGGATGCGTCAAGTAGCGCCGATCCTCAAAGGTCGAGAGTTTCCGGAGCCCCACAAAAGAGCCACACACCTCTCGAAGCCTCAATCCTCGAGCGGCGATGGCCTCCAAACGCCCACACACGACCAAAAACGTTCAGAAGCCTCGACCCTCGAACCTCGATACCACTCAGAGGACCAAGGACGCCAAGGCGTGTCGAGAGCGTCGGTGCCGACACTGGATGGCAGCTGGAGGCTCAAGAAGGGCCAACGACGCCGTCGGAAAGCATAGATCCTCGTCGAAAAGGGCGAAAGACGTCACACATCGTTGATCCTGAAACCTCGATGGCCAAAAATAAACAAAGAAGGCCAGCGGCCTCGGTCCGTGAACGTCGATCGCATGCGGAGGCCCGCGAGCCTGAGACGCCCGAGCGTCTAGATCCTCGAAGGCTTCAGAATACCAGCGATGTGCGGACGACGTTTAAAAGCCTCGATGATGCTGATGGTGATGATGAGGAGGAGGAGGAGGGCTTCTGAAGGCCCATAAACGGCCACCGACGTGACAAAACAATAGCTTACGGGAGCACAGAAATGACCAAAGATGTCCTGAAGCGTGGAGTCTCGAATGGCGATGGCTTCCAGAGGCGCACGAAGTTCCCGAAGACGCTCTAGAGCCTTGATGTCGAACGTTGATGGCTCCAAGAGGTCCAATAAAAACCAAGGACGTTCAGAATTCTCGATCCTCGAACCTCGATAGCATAATCTCAAAACGGGACAACTACGTTCAAAATCCTTGATCCCAGAACCTCGATCGATTGCTCCATGAGGCCAACAAGAAGGACCCAATGTGTCACAATCCTCGATCCTTGTCTAAAAGGGCCAAAGAGGTTCAAAGCTGTTCGGGATGCAAGCACCGCCTGCTCTAAATTGCTCCTCCTCCTGGTCCTCCCGCTCGTTCCCCCGATCCCACCTTAGATCCGGAAGCCAACATCAAGCCCGCGCATGTGCCTCTAAGATATGTTGCACGTGCCCCAGGAATCCAAGCAAAGTGCACTCTGGGGAGGCTCCCACCAAACAAGATTAGGTCCTGCTTAGCGTGGCTAGACACACTATGCGGCTTCTGGACAATCGCCACGCAAAGACGACACAAAATAAATGGAAAACACGCCAAGCGATCTTACACTTCGCAAGGGCCCGAGTGCTCAAGTAGACACGCCAAGACGTGGCCTCCCGACTACTCCAAGACTACCTCAAAACGACCCAGACCTCACACGTTGTGTTTTTTCATTATGCCGTTTTCCTCTATGTTGGTACCCAAAATCTGCCGACCCATCGGCGTGTGGAAGGCGCTGTCGTCGTCGTCGTGGTCGTCGTCGACGCAATCACTGGGTGCTCCTCCTCCTCCTCCTCCTCCTCCTCCTCCAGCGCGTCAGCCACAGCGAAACCGAACGGAAACCTCAAGCGCGCCAGCCAAAGCGAAACCAAACAGAACTTGAGCAATGTCACAGTTGACTCGAAAGGAAACCCCTTCCCTTTGATCCCTTCCCCCCCCGGGGGGGGTCCCGGGGGGATGGTAGTTGGGGGGAGGGGGGGAGAGATTCAGTCTCTTTACAAGCAGAACGGTACTTTACAACCGAGATGGGGCACTTCACATCCGGCCAAAGATCAACTCGTATGATTTCCCTTTGAGAACGGCCACTTCAGAACTGGAACATCTACATTCTTTACAAGCCAGAACGGCCAGTTTACAACTCAGACGGTGCTCTTTACAATCAGAAAGGCCATTTTTACAACCAGCGCTCATAGACCTCTGAAAGCTCTGATCAGGCTTCTGAGGTGTCTAAGCGCATGTGCGCCCTGCAGAGGCTCGTGAGGTTTCTGGGCGCCTGTGCGCTCTGCAGGGACTTCTGAAGTTTCTGAGCACTCTGCAGAAGCGTCTGAGGCTTCTGAGCGCCTGAGAGCTTCGCAGAGGCTTCTGAGGCTTCTTAGCTGTTGGAGCTCTGAGCAGAGGGCTTGTATGCGCGTGAGCGCTCTGCAGAGGCTCCTGAATGTTCTAAGCGCTTCAGCGCCCTGCAGAGACTTATGAGGCTCCTGAGCGCTTCAGCGCTCTGCAGAGGCTTTAAAGCTTTTGGTGATGCTGCTGCTGCTGATGATACTGATGATGATGATGCTGATGCTGACGATGGTGATGATCGTGATGATGCTGTGGAGGAGGACGAGGACCGCTGCCCCATGTGCCACGGGAGGATCATGATCGTTGTTTTGCTCGGGTCTGTTTCGTTGGTTCGGATTCGCTACGTTAGGCTTGGTTCCGATGTGTTGCGGTTGCTTCGGGTTTGTTTCATTTGGTTTGGGTGTATTGCGTTCGGCATCGTTCGGGTTGTTGCGATTGGTTCGGGCGTGTTGCATTTGGTTCGGGCTTGTTGCGTTTGGTTCGGGCTTGTTGCGTTTGGTTCGGGTTTGTTGCGCTCGATTCGTTTAATCGTGGTCCTCTTCGTTCGGGTTTGTTGCATTGGGGTCCTGTTTATTTCGGTTTGGAATGGTGCGTCGCTTATGTGATGGTCGTTCCTATGGACGGTTCCCATATGTGTTAATTCATGTGGTTCGAATTGTTGTTTCTGTTGCTTGCCATCGCCATGTCACGTTCGGTCATCCGCACACCCGCTGTATTGGTTCCCCCGTGGCCCATGTCCCTTCCACATTCGCTTTATCCTCCTCTCCACCTCCTCCTCCTCTCCCTCCTCCTCCTCCTCGTCCTCCTCCCCCTTCTCCTCCTCCTCTTTCTCCTCCTCCTCCTCCTCCTTCCGCTCCGCCCCCTCCGCCTCCTGCTACTCCACTCCGCCTCCGACTCCTCTGCGCTTCCTCTCCCTTCGCCTCCGATTCCCTCCTTCTTCATCCCTCCATCTCCTGCTCCTCCTCCTCCCCCTCATGATCCTCCCCCCCGCCGTCCCTCATTCCCTTCCGCAGTGCAACAAACCCGATTGGATGCTAATGGGTTCGCCTGATGCCAATAGGATCGCAATCGGAAGTGTACTAATGGGATCCCAATTGGACTCCGATCGGATTTGTTAGGAATACACTACTATACATAGTGGTGTTTCAGACGAGGCACTTTACGACGAACGCGCTTCAGGTAGCGAAGTGTTTCCCTTACTTGGCTCCACTGATCTTTCTGACATTTAGGCACGTGTGTCGCCAACGTGCGTGTCTTAAAGCGGCCTCCCAGGTTGTCAAGTGCCCTTCTGGAAAAATCCATGCTGATTGTAACGTGCCCCGTCTCGGTTGTTGTAAAGTGCTGTTCTGGTTGTAGAGTGACCCGCACGCGGGGGTGGGGGGTCCCCGGTCAGAATACCATTCTTCTCCGGGGAGTCCCGAGACCCATCAACGTCCTCAGACAGCCCAAGAGGCCCCCAAGACGGTCCAAGATGGCCCCACATTGCCGAACGATCAGTCCAAGACGCCACAGATGGCCTCCTCACAGCCCAGACGGCTGCCGAGACGCTCGAAAAGGCCTCCAAGAGCACACCAAGAGGGCGCCAACATGCAACAGTCAAGGATCCATTTAGGCTTTTGAGCGATACTGACTTTCTAGCCTTTTTGGTTTCCCGACGCCCCAACACGGCCCAAGATACCACCAAGATCAGCACAAGAGGCCTCCAAGAGGTTTCCAAGACGGCTCCAAAACGACCCAAGAGGGCCACACGACAGCCCTAGAGGCCTCCCAAGCGGCCCCAGGGGCCCCCAGAACGGCTCCGGGAGGGTGCCCATACGGGAGCCCGAACGAACATGTCGAGCCCTCGGCCCCGAGAAGCTCCCATGAGGGTCCCACGAGGCCCCAAGAGGACTCCAAGAGCCCAAGGAAGCCCGAAGAGACCCCCAAGTGGCTCCCAGGATGCTCCCAAGAGGCCCCAAAACTGCCCCACGGAGGCATACGAGCGCGCTCCGACGAGGCCCCAGGAAACATCCCTGAGGACTCTGCCCCAATTCAGCGTCGTCGCCGCCGCCACCGCCGCCGCCACCGTGGATGGAGGACAAGGGGGAGAGGATCAGGAGGATAATCAGCATCATTCGGCGCCAGCTGCAGCCCCACTCTCTACCTAGCAAACCCTGTAAACGCTAGCTACTTGAAAGAGGGGGACTATGGGAGGTGTGCTGCGGCAACATCTGCATGCTGAATGAACTGTGCGGGCCATGCGATAAAGAGTGTGCTTTGGCACCACTCCAAGCACCAGCATTGAAATCACCTAATGACCTAGAGGACGTCGCCTCTGTTGGCCTCCTTCAACATATGTCCGACATATACTAGTAACTAAACGGGCGCTCATGTGCCCTCCAGGCTCGTGGCTGCTGATGGCATCCATCAGCCCTAAATAAATCGAAACAACTAAACGTACACAAGAGACTCCCGTGCGCCCGGTGCATGCAGCGTGTGCAGCCTAACGGCACACCGCGTGCCGCTTCGCCTGGCTCAAGCGATCTGGTTCGACTGCATGACCTGCGATCGCACGAGACGGCGACGGTGACGGTGCACACGAGTGTCCACGCGAGGGGACTGAGCGGGGCGAGGGGACCTGCATTCGCACGAGAAGACTGCAGAAGTATGCGCTGCCACGCCGTCGCTTGCCACCAGTCAGCTTCGATATCACCACCGCTCCTCGCAACCACCAGCGTCCCCGATGGCGGGCACCGTTTCCTTCGGGCTAGGTTGGAGGGACCCAGGGACACACAAATAAATACACACAAATCCCAAGATTCCCAATATTTTCTCATACTTTCTGGGTCTTCGTCTTCACCCCCACTCCTCACATTTTCCCATATCATCCTGCGAATCGGCGATCCTTGGTGTCTGTGTGCTTTCCCCCCCCCTGATAGGTGGCTGACGCGCGAGGAGTGCCAGCAGATCGCGCCAGAGAAACCCACGCCTGCGGAGAGTACGATGTGGCAATTCGCGGACGCTGAGGCCACCCCGCTTCCCCGACCGGCGGTCCCCCAGGCGCAGCCTTGCCCCACTCCCGTTCATGACGGCCAGAGCGTTGCAGAGCCAAGAGTATCACACCCGAGCCCAGTAGCTACGACGAGCGGGTGGTGCCAGCGGGCTACCCCCCTGACCACCTGGGGTTCACACGACATCGCAGTTACCCATAGTGTGCTCACTGCAATCGTACTAAGCGCGGGGGGCGAAATGCATGAGGTAGGGACGCCGATTGGTTTGGTACCACTGCGCGGGAAACAGATTTCGAGGTGCATGAACCAGCCGATCAATGAGAACACAGCGTTCTCTGCATCTACTATGATACGATATTCAAGGGGGCTGTGAGTGGTGCTCATCGACAACAGCCAGAACAGCAACAGCACCAAAGAGAGTAGCAACAGCAGCAGCCAAGGAGCACCAAGAGCGAACGAGAGGTTATGGTCCCCGTGTCCTTCCCCTCCACCCCCGCCGAAGACCCATGCAGACTGCACGGTGCACAACTTGCCGGCGAGCTGGGGGGAAAATTGAGAAGGGGCGGGCCTTCTCAGAACGCTCCGAAGTCCCCAGGCCCTCTTAGGAATTGTCTAAGCCTTCCCGGAAGACAAACAAAAACCCCTCGAAAGGCGCGAAGGCTTCTGAGAAGTCCCGCCGCCTTCTGAGAAGGCCTTCTCCTCCTCACTTCCCCCCTCGCTCGCCGCCGAATTACAAGAGGAAGTGCACTGGGGGAAACCACCAAAGCCAATATCGGGGATCTGCTAACCCGGGTTAGTCGAGGCAGGATCCTGCAGGATCATGCACCCAAAGCCCGTGTCAGTGCACCCCTTGCCCTGCAGGATCCTGCGAGATCTGGCGCTGAGGCTGACGACCCCCGTTTGCTTCGAACCCCGTCCCTTGCGCCCGGCGCGCCTGGGCTCCAGGATGCCACCCGCCACTTGCCACCGCCCGGACGTCCACGCCCCGTGCATGTTTCGGTCTCGTGCGTGCTCTTGTTGGCCAGATGACCCAGGATGCCCCTCGATGGTCCTCGCCAAGACAACAAAAATGCACACGTCCGAGCGATACCGAGGCCACTGCCACCAGAAGCCTCCACATCACCAAGTCTGGTCGCCTGTCTTGGTGGATGCTGAGGGGCAACGGCAGGGGGAACTGGCACATGGGTGGGGGGAACATCGGCCTGAAATCTGCGATGCAACCTCGCCGGTAGATCGGCGATGGGCTCCCAGTAGTAAATCCGAACGCTCCTGACCAGGGTGGGGGTATCAGACCTCTATACAGCGTAGGCCAGTCCACAAGAAGCCTTACACAAGAAACCCAACCCTGAGACAACAGGACGTCCGTCGATCTTTGGTCGGGGAACGTCACGCCTTCCGCAGCAAAACCATCGAGACCCAAGAAACCCAGGGCACCCTGGAGGCAAGCAGAGTGTTTCTTGGCAGGGGTCCCCCCTGTATGCCCCTCACCCATCGCTGCCCCTGAGGTACTCGCTCCCAGCTCGGCACCGTGCGCATCCACCAAGATCTGGGCCACCAGTGGGCCTGTGGAGGCTCAGCTGTGGCCAGTTGGCATGCGCCACCTTCTCCCCGACAGCCCGAGCCGCGAAAGAGTGAACCAGGAAGTCGTAAAGAATACATGCATCCCCACCTTGCCTGTCTTGGCACTCTCTGGAGCCGTTCCCGAACCCTGGAGGAGGCCTCTTGAGCTGTCTTCGGACGACCTCGAGCCATCTGAGGGCATCTTGGACCCCTCTACCTCCATTGTCTTCGTCGTCGCTGCCCACAGGGTCGGCGGCATCGGCCGTAAGGCCTTCGCAATACATGCATCCCAACCCTCCTTCGCGTCGTGCTTCTGCGCGACCGGTCGGCGACGGCCTCGGGGCCCGAGCCGCGGCGAAGACGCCCGCCTGTTGTGCTCTAAGGACCGAGCCCCGAGGGCGAGTGCGACGTTTTTCTCCTGGCGCTCTTTGTCGCACACCAACGAGAGGCTCGGGGGCCCCGTGAGCGGAGACTTTGATAGACCAGGGCGCTGAATTTAGACGAGACGTCCTCCTACAGGCGGATTTTGGGCGAACAGTCAAGAATGCCAACAATGTTCAAACGTGGTGAAATTGACTATCTCTGCATATTCTTCCTGCAGGGGGACGTGCCCGACTTGACGCTAAAAATCGGTTGAGCAAACTGCAGCCGTGGGCCGCAGCATTCTCCACCCCTCGCTTCCACCAGCTGGGCCCCTGTGCAGGCCGCCCCCATGGGGCTGAGGCCGATGGCATACCGGAGGATCGCGCTGCACCGCCGATGCCTCAGCGGTGCATCGACGGCGTCGGCGCTGCACCGGGGCCGCACCGGTGACGCCAATGGGGAACACCTCGGGCTCCACAGCCGGCCGCCTCGGCGATGCTGCGCGATCCACCGACCCCACCTGCCCCGACCTCATTTCGGGCAGACGTAAGACTCGGGTACGGGGGACTCGGGTTGGCCTGACGGGGCCATCATAAAAACGACGAGACCCGATCCGACATTTGACGCGAACTCCCGCTGCAAGCATCCCACGAAAACTGGGCCTTCAAAAGCCAGGACACGCTGGTCCAAAAAACGTCGGCAAACCCGAGTTCCGGCTTACTCGAGTCTTACGTTTCCCCGATCATTTGGGCGGCCTGGAACACTCCTGGTATGCAAAATCCCAGGCTCCGGGGCCCCGAGAGGCGGCCTGTCTCTGATCCTCCAGCGCCAACATCGGGGGCGACGGTGGGGGTGAGTGGCCCATGGGGAGGGCAACACATGCATCCAGGGGCGCCGTTGGTCCGTGCCGTCGGCGAGGCTCCCCTGCCAAGAATACGTGTCATGTCCGCCCCTATCGTCGCCTCCGACAGCAGGGCGGCAAGGCGCGCGGTCTCGACGGGCCTGGCAGCGCCTGCAGCTTGGGCGCTCGTGCTCGGAGGCAGGGGACGGCAGGAGGGGTGGGTGGCGTCGGGGCCGCGGGGTGATGACGCAGCCAGGAAGAGGGCGCCCACTCGCCGTCGCCGCGGGCCGGACAGAGCCCCTTGCCTCCTCCACCCACTTCCCATCCTACCTTTTCCCCCTGACCTTCTTTCTCCTTTCGCCTCAACCCTTCCTGCCTCAACCCTCCCTCTTGATTCCTCCCTCCTCCCCCACACCTCCACATGGCTCCCCATTCCCTCCACCTATTTCCTCCTACTTTTCCCCGTCCCTCCTCACACATCCCGACGACGAGAAACGTCATAAACATGAGCTTGCGAAAGTCCGCGCGGAATTCTCGGATCGGCGCTGGACCCCTCGCCACGCACTTCCCCTGCTCTTGTGGAGTCGAACCCAGCGCCGACCTAAGAACTCCGCGCGGACCTTAAAGGTTTACGCATATGCTACATGTTTGGTCATATTACCTCCTCCCTCCCTTCCTCCTCCCTCCTCCCTCCTCTGTTCGCCCATTCTTGCCTTCTCCTCCATCTCTCCCACCTCGCCATCTCCCTGAGGTATTCCTCCTGCCGCCTCCCTGATCCGTCCACCCAGCGTGCAGAGTCTATGTCCTGATTGTCTGTGCCCTCTCCTCCTCCTCCTCCTCCTCCTATTTCTCCTCCTCCGCCTCCTCCTTCCCCTCCCCCTCCCCCTCCCCCTCCCCTTCTCCCCTCCCCATCCCCCGCACCCTCCTCCATCCCCTGTCCTTGTAAACAACTCCCCCCCGTCGCGGCCCCAGACGCATCGGTGGGGCGGGCCGGGCGCTCCGCCCGAGACTGCCTCGCCACTTGCCGATCCGGAAGCTCGCACTCTGCAGCAACGAAAGTCACATGATGGAAGGTGAGCCGCTTTCAAAACTCGGCGGTGGACACACCTCCTTTTAATAATCCTCCCTTTACTGAAAAAGGGCTGGGACCGAAACCGACGGACCTGGACCCGCAACAATGACGGCCGCGACGCCCTCTCGCGAACCGAGCACGGCCAGTTCCTTAATCGACGTGTCAGGGCAGGAGGTCTGTCCACCCCCGAAAAATGGGGCTCTCGCCGCAGCGCCGCGCACACGTGTCGCGGGCGTCTGGCTCGCCACAGAACTTCCACGGACGGAGGGCGGCGTGCGCCGTGGTCAGAGCTGAGGCCCCCCGTCCCGCGCTTTCGCGCCCCGCGCGCACAGGCGTCTCGCGTCTCGGACGTCGGCAGCAGCGGCACGGGGGGAGGGCGGTTTCGTTTTCGTCTCGAGATGTGGCTCTCGCCCTGGCGCCGCGCACACGCGTCTTTTCAAAGGTCTGCAGCTGTCTCACGGATGGAGGGCGGTTCCTTCCCAACGTGTGGCTCTCGCCTGGGCGCTGCGCACATCCGTTGGTGAGTTTGCAAGCAGTTTCGCGGATGGAAGACGGTTCGTTTTCAACATGTTCTTGTCACCTGAGCGCCGTGCACATTCGTCTTAAACGTTTGCGTTGGGGGGTCGGGTCGTGTTCGAAATGCTGCTCTCGTCCTGACGCCGCACGCAGTCGTTATACATGTCTGCGACAGTTTAACGGATTCGCGTGGTCGAAGTCCCTGGACATGGTGTTCTGGCTAGACGTTGGGGTGGTAGGACGCATGTCATGTTCATTCGCTGTGTTGAAATCCCTGGAATGGTGTCCTGGGAAGATTAAGGATTGTCAAGGCGCAGCAGTCATGTTGACTCGCGACGCAGATGTCCCAGCAATGTTTTGGCACAACTGAGGATTCTCAAACGGTTGTCTTCCGATGGGGCGTTTCCCTCAATGACAAGAAATTCTTGTAGGGTCCTGTGAAGAGGGAAATCGGAGGGAGGGTATTGCAGCATCGTTGATGCGTCTTGGATTTGCACTGGTCCTCCTCCTCATCCTCCTCGCTCCCGTCTCTGGTTGCAAGACTCGGAAACACGCACCCCCCCCCTCCTCCTCCTCCTCCTCCCCCTCTTCCCTCCCCCGAGTTCTATTCCTTCTCCTCTCTCCCTCCCCCTCCTCCTCACCTCCTACCTCGTCCATCCTCCTTGTCCTCCTTCCTGCTCCTCCTTCCTCCCCACCCTCTCTCCTGATCCTCCTCCCCCCCTGCCTTCTTCTCCGATGTCTCCCTCTGAAGTCTCTCCTCCGCCTACCCATTCTCCGTCTATCTCCTCCTCCTCCTCCTCCTCCTCCTCCTCCTCCTCTTCCATCCACCCTTATCAATCCAACCACCCGTGCACCCCGGACCCATACCTTTGATGTGTTCTGATCCTCCCCGCCTGCACCAAACGTCCCCCGAGACGCAGGCCGAGCCCGGAGCCCAGCCCAGGGCCCAGGGCCGGGCGAAGGCAGGGAGCACAAGGGGGGGGGGGGGGGGGGCAAGCTGCTTGCTATGTGCGCTCGCGTCATATCAGACGTCCCACCCCTCCCTCCCATCCCCTACCATGGCTTAGATCTCATCTCTATTATTCGCACAATTGGATGTCGCAACATGGCACAGCATCACATGGCACAGCATGGTGTTGAAGATCAACGCGTAGCATGACATAGCATGGCGCGGCGACGCCCCCCACAGTGAGGGGGAGGAGACGGGGCGGCTCGCAGCGGAAGCTTCGCCTCCGAGGTCCTACGGTGCATTATGTGCCACGCGCACACGGCGGAGCGAATGGCGGCGCCGCGGCACACGGTGTGAAGCCTGCGCGCGCCCCCGTGGCCGGCCTGCGCGGGCCGCCCCGGGGAGGGCGCCGCGCGGAGGAACAACAAAAAATTCGCGACCTCGGGCGGCACCCGCGGGGCGCGGGCGGCTGCAAGCTCTACGTGCTCGATGCTGCTGAGGAAAAGCAAATGCTCTGCTATCAATCTCGATCCGGCGCCACCCGAGACCGACCCGGCTGCATGATACCCCCTCCTCCTCCTCCTCCTCCTCCTCCACCTCTTCCATGTCCTCCTCCTCATCGAACTCCTCCTCCTCCTTCTTCTGGAACTCGTGGTCGTCGTCGTCGTCCTTCTCCTCCTCCTCCTCCTCCTCCTCCTCCTCCTCCATGCTTCTCAGCCACTCAATTGTGATCCCACACTCCCGTCTTTCCCGATGGCGTAGCGGTCTCACACCCCCCGCAATCGTGACCGTGCTTATGGTGGTGGTGATCGCTACCGTGGCGGGGCGAAAAGATTCGCCTCTCAGAGCTACTCGGTGTGCAGCCAACGCAGTCTCCGAGTGTTCGGTAAGCACGACAACTGGAGCTGCAACAAGCTTTGAGGAGATTACCTTCCCAAAGATGCAGGGGCCACCAAACGTGCGAGGGTGTGCCACTGGGACCTTCGGTGGAGCTCCATGGTGCCACGACACGTGGGAAGGGTGCGCCGACATGGGTAGCGGGGACGCAAGCGGGCTGCGCCGTTGGGATCCTCGTTAGAGAGACCCATTGGCCATATGGGGCCACGGAGCGTGTAAGGGGTGTGCACAAGCTGATGGTCATGATGATGATGATGATGATGATGATGATGATGATGATGATGATGATGATGATGATGATGATGGTGATGTTGATGATAACGATGATGATGCTGGTGATGCTGCAGATGCTGCAGATGGTGATGCGGCTGATGATGATGGTGATGATGTTGATGATGATGATGATGATGCTGTTGATGATGATGGTGATTATGCTGGTGATGATCATGATGCTGATGATGACGATGATACTGGCGATACAAGTGATGGTAATGGGCAAGGTGGTAGCGATGCTGATGATGATGATGGTGGTGATGCTGGTGATGAGTGTGATGGTGACCGTAATGATGATGTTTATGCTGATGCTGAGAATGATGGTGATGCTGAAGACGATGATGACGATGTAGATGATGACTTTGCTGATTATGCAGATGATGATGGTGGTGATGATGCTGACTATGTTGATTATGCTTATGATGCTGCTGATGATGATGATGCTGATAGTGAGTATGACAAATATGATGACGATTATCCTGTTGCTGACGATGATGATGATGATGATGATGATGATGATGACGCTGATGATGATGATGATGATGATGATGATGATGATGATGCTGATGTGGGTAATGATACTGATGGTGATTAGGCTGCTGATGATGATGTTGAAGAAGACGATGCTGCTGCTGCTGCTGCTGCTGCTCATGATGATGATGATGATGATGATGATGATGATGATGATGATGATGATGATGATGATGATGATGATGATGATGAGAATGAAGGGGAGGAGGAGCATGCGGATGGGAGGATGGGGAAGAAGAAGGAGGGACGCGGGGCAGTGCCTCTTCAAAACGATGACCCAGCGCCGCATAATGGATGGGAGCAAAGGGAACCCGCGCTTCAACGCAGCTGGCGGAACGCCAGCTCTCGCACTCGCGCCTCGCGCCTGAGTAGCATCGCGCGCGCGAGGACGCCTGAGTTGCCGCAGCCGCGGCTCGGGCCGTCACTCAGCACACGCTGCCCGTCAGGGTCTCGGTTGCGCAGAAACCCAAACACCGCCGCGTCGTGACAACAAAAACACGGAAAGTTTGTCCACTTTCGGGCCTGTAGGGGCAAAGTCCGGCCCCTGGACTGTGAAGGGATGAGCAGGGATAATGACCGGGCCCCGCGGAAGGGGTCCAAATCTCCAAGGGCCCATATTGTGCAAAAATCACGACGTCGGGTGTTTGGGCGCACAGGAGGGCGTCAACCATGCCACTGCGTCGATCTTGACCAGGCCCGTGCGTACGCCCTCCTTGCCATCACACGGAGGCTCGCACGCCGATCCTGGACCCAGGGAGGGCCCGGTCATGATCGGGTGCGAATGTGTAGCTGGCGCCCTCGGATAGCAAGAGGATCTCGGTCAGTGGTGGTCTTTGACGTATTCCCAGTGCCCCTGACGGGAGGGGAACGCAGGCGGAGAGGGATGGACGAGAAGCAGCGCCCGTGTCCTCCTCTGCAGGCCTCGCTCCTCTTCCTCCTCCACACCCTCCTCCTCCTCCTCCTCCTCCTCCTCCTCCTCCTCCTCCTCCTCCGCCTCCTCCGCCTCTTCCTCCCGCTCCTGCTCCTGCTCCTTTTCCTCCTCCTCCATCCACCGCTCTTCGCTTGAACGCCACCGACCGACCGCCCTGGCGGAACACAAGTGGACTCGGGGCCGAAGGCCCGTGCAAGCTTCAAGTTGCCCGTGTTTGCACTGAACACAGGCGGGCGCCCCCACAAAAACCTTGCAGCCTGCCTCAAGACCTCGAGATGCCACCACGGCGCAAGCGTTCTTCCACGTTCCACCGCGAATCTGGCCCCCCCGCTGCACTTCACGGACCCGCCTCCACGACCTCCACGCGCGACCACGGCGGGAAGCTTCCCCCGCGCTTCTAGCCCGGGACCGGGCGCCACGGCGCCACCGGGCGCCCAATCCAAAACTGGACTTGGCGCTTCTTGGACGGTGGCGTTTCCCCCCCTTTGCCTTCGTCGTGTGCCCTGGCCGACTTGGCCCTCGGCCTGCAGGGCCCCCCCGCTAGACATAGCACGCGGGACTCTGCTTCCCGATCACTTCCACTTCGCACGAGATCAAGAGCCTGGACTCAAGGCCCCCATGGCGAACCAACCGCATACCTTCAGATTACAAATCGGTCAGTGGAAACAGGAACAACTCCGAAATCCGCCACAGTGCCCTCAAGCACGAGTTGGGGTGCCCCTGGGTCCCTTGATCGATCTCCTGAGCATCGATCTTTACTCCTAAGGAGTAGTTTCAAGCCCAGGCCGAAAGAACTTAAAGCTCTCGGGGCTTGCCGCCTGGCTCCCAGGGCTTGCAGCTAACTTGTTCGGGCCACAATAGGCCGCCGACATGGCACAAGGTGGCCCCGAATCCCCAAACGATCTGTCCAAGTCGCCTGAAGTGGCTTCCAGTCTGTCGAATAAGCGCCCAAAACGCACCAAAAAGTCGAATACGTAACTGTGGGGTCGCCATCGCATGTTAAGAAAGAATGTGAAAAAAGGTGTGGTAGCGGTGGCGACGGAATGGGAAAATGCCTTTTCTCCCACCGAGCGCCTCCGATCAAGCGCGACAGGCGGCGCTGGAACATTGGGCGGCGCCGCCTTGAGCCAATGCGGCGGCGGCCGAGCAAGATATCGGAGCATTCCCTCAAAATCGAGGGCAGGGGGGGGGGGGCAAGCTCGGCCATCGCTACTTCGCAAGTAAACCCAAGGCAGCGCGTAAAAGTACACAAAAGAGATCGACGATCGAAAGTTCCGACCGCCGGTGCACTTCGTAGAAGGCGGGGTGCTAGGGGTTGGGTCATGTCTCCATGAACCCCAGCGTGCAAGACCCAGCTGGCAAATGCGCTTCGAGCTTAAATAGCAGGGGTCAGTTCTGGCAGCCCAGGAACGGAACGATGAGGGCCGATCACAAATCGGCGCAAGACACAATAAGGGAAGTCGCGTGACCGCGACAACCAGGCGAAGAGCACGAGGTCGCGATCCCCCGACCGCAGCGTGCGAAAGGAACGCGGATATGCACTCGCTTCCGAACAGTCGAGGGCACGCGCAAGCTCTGCGCGGGGCAGGCAAAGAGCCCCCCGCGCCCCCCCCAGCCCCCCCCCCTTTTCAAGCACGGAAAGTCCGCGGCTGAGCACTCCACTAGACCTCTGGGGCCTTTCAAGGCGCTTGAGCAGCCGCAGCAGCTGCCTGTCGCCAATGAGAGATTCGTTGATTCGACGCGGAGCGCATAATTGGATTTCGCGCGCGTAGCTCTAATAACCGGCCATAACCTACAGGAGCAACTCACAATCGATGGCGCCCGTGGCGCGGGTTCCGCCGCCGCGTCGCGGGCGCCCCGCCGATGCGCGTTGGCGGAGACGCGGAGGCCCACGATAATCTCTTAGCCAGCTAATATGCCCCGACACGGTCAGCGTCTTGGGACCTTTGCTGGCAAGAGGCTCGCAGACTGCGTCGGCGTCTGTCGTGGAGGATGCTCCGATTCAGGATCGCCGTGTTCACGGAAGCGTTGGGGCTGAGAAGGAATCGCATGTCCCTGGACGAGCTCATGCAGGGGTGTTAAGGTAGGGCAACGTCCACCGAGGCTGCGAGCAACGCCAAGTGCTTCGGCTGCGTAGCTGGACCTGACTTGCAGACGAGCAGACATGCATCGGCTGTCTACGCGATGCATGAATTCCTCTTTGCTGCTCTGTTCCCGCGACGCAGCAGATAGCGCCCGGTAAGGCCGTTGCCGTTGGTCTCGTGCCTTTCGCCAGTGAGCTTTCGATGCCCCGAGTCGCTGCGCAGCTCTGCAGTGTCATCCGCGGCCATGGAACGGCTGGATGTCCATAGATTACTTCAACCGTTTTAGAAGGTTTTGGGCGTTCAATCGTATCCTGTAGAATCGGTTCGTGGATCCGCAGCAACGAGTCAGCATATGCCATGATCCAGAATTGGCCGCTGAGTGTAGAGTACGCAAGGACTCACAGTGGGCTAACAAACATGCCGCTGACAAGTTTACTGGCTGCTGCTCTCCTGGTAATGCCAATATGTGCTATGTGGCAATGTTGTTTGATGTGCTCGTCTTGATCCATAGCACACTGTCATTGTCCATATGTGTGTAAATTACGGTCCATGTCGTTAAACTGGGTTTGAGCAACTTGCCTTTGTCATATACCTCGTCAGCCCGCTTGGCAGAAAGATCAGCGTGGGACTCCTTGCCGCGCGCGTTGCTTTCGTCCACGTGCTTGGCTGTGAGCGAGTCCTGGGTGGCCTCAAACTCCGGGTCGCATGGCATGAGCTCGATGCCGATGTCCCCCGTGGCCCTCTGAAATCGGCAGAAAAGGCGCAGGGGAAATCCTCGGCAATGGCGCAGGGCCTGATCGGGGATGGACAGACCCCCCTTTAGCAAAACGTGGTTTAGTGAAAACGACCTGAGGCCCAAACCTGGCGGGCGCAAGCCTGGAAAATAACGGCCACGGCGCCCTCTCGAGAACCGAAAACGGACAATTCACTAATCGACGTGTCACTGTTGGGGGTTCTGTCCACCCCCGACCTGAGGCATTCTAAACGGCGTCGCCACTCGCCGCAGTCCTCGGAGCCGGGCAAGGTCCGAAGGGCGGAGGCACTACCAGGAGGTAGAGTAAAGCATGCAATGCGCTCCAGTCCACCTGTAGTTTCGGTCAACTCTTGGCGCGCGAGGCCTTTGCGCGCAGCCGCGGCTGCGTCGAGGCCGGCAATCTCGATGGCAAGCTGCTTCGCGGGCCAACTGACGCGGAGAAGTGCGTCGTGCCAGGCAATGTTACCACGGCGAGACCCTCTCGGTCCATGAACTCCCGCATGCAGAGCAAAGTCGCATCAAGTTGTCCGTCTGTCCGAACTTCCAAATGTACGCGTACCTCGAGGTCACGACAGTCTGGGCCTTGGACAACAGCTCTTCGGTGAAGCGCCGGTGGCCCAGACGTACTTTGGGTCCGGCTCAGAGTGCGAATGGCGTTTGCTTCGGTTCGTTGGCGACGTCTTGTCTGGTCAGCAAATCGCCCCCTGTGGACGCCGCACCTCGATTGACTTCCGCTAAAGCGCACAAGCGAATGAATGTTGGCAAACACCTCAAGGATCACGGTTTCCAAGTCAGGTTCAAGCGATATTACTATTGCCAACTCTTCTTTAAAACCAGGGTCGGCAACTCTATCGCTTCCGTCGGTGACGGGGTCATAGTGGCCACCGGTATCATTCAGGTTTAGCACCTCAGTAGCTACCGTGGGATCACCCGTCGCCCTGCTCGCGCCCACGTAGGTCCACGCAGAGCAATTCGAGCATGGTTTTCGTGCTCGCAAAGAGGTATTGCATGCGCAAGCATGCGGGAATTGGGGATTGAATGCGGGACTGAAACTTCTCAGTACGCGTGCCTGATTCAAAATACTGATGTGGGCGCCCTCCTCAATATCTATGAGTTCTTGGTCTGGGCGCCCTCCTAGGGTTCGCCCTCGCCCTCGTCGATTGTAAGTGGGAGCCAGCGCCCGTGCTCGGATCCCGTTGGAATATCTGGGAAGTTCGCGTTTCTGCTGTCGCTGCTATCCTGCGGTTCATCGGCATGGTCCGGGGATCGAGTGGTGTCCTCGTCGAGCGAGCAGACGGGTCGAGTGGCAAGTGGGCACTGCGTCAGGCGAGCACGTTAGCTGCCAGCGGTGTCTTGCAACAGGCTTTCACGCAATCACAGACGTGGAAGCCAAACTGGACATCGATGTCGCAATAAATTCGGCCAGCCCCACGGCTCACCAGCTGCGAACGGGCGCCCATGGCCAGCCTTGCGGCTGTGGCGCTGAACTTTCTGCAGTGAATGCAATCAATGCACTCTAGCGCCGCGGGAACCATCGGGGTCAGCTTGCTTCCCGGAGATAACGGGCAGACCTTCTCGCGGACAGGGGCGCGGCCGCAGACGACGAGTGCCTTTCCTGCTGGAAGGGCCGAAACGTAGGACACAGCGGCAATCGCGCCCGCATTGGCCATGCCAAAGTCTGGACCATGACCGTCTCGACGAATAGGGTAAGTCTCGGATCAGGGAACTGAGCCACTACTCCACTGTATCCAGATTTCCCTATCAACTGCCCCCTTTCCTCACTGACTTCAGCAGCCGTTGAAAATGCCATTCCATCCACAGTCGTCGCCCTCCGCGTCGGCTGGCGGGCGGTGGCCCGCCAGGTCGCCGACTCTGAACATGCTGCCGCCGCCCGCGCTGGTCTTCGCCTCGAGAAGCCTTTTCTGCCCTGGCCGCATCGGTGGCCTAGGCAGCAGCTTCAAGGGCAACCTCGCGGAGGGCGTTCACGCTCCTGACGCGCAGTCACCGGCTCTTCAAAATCTGGCCCTTCAAGGTCAGGAAGCACGAGCGGCTCTCTGCCCGTGAAAGCGGCGCACGGGGAGTCC